TGATGGTGACAGAGGTAATGATGGTGGTGGTCATGGTGACAGAGGTAATGATGGTGGTGGTGGTGATAGTGATGGTGACAGAGGTAATGATCATGGTGGTGGTCAGGGTGACAGATGTAATGATGGTGGTGGTGGTGATGGTGACAGAGGTAATGGTGATGGTGATGGTGACAGAGGTAATTGTGGTGGTGGTGGTGATGGTGACAGAGGTAATGGTGGTGGTTGTGGTGATGGTGGTGAAGAGCGATTGTGGGTGCTAGTGATGCCCAAGACAGCAGCCATAACGATCTCCGTAGTGATGATGGTGCTTATAGGTTTGGAAATTATTATCTTACCAGCTTAATCTGTTCCTCACCCCTATAAACTGGAAGTGTCTGAAGGATAGATGAGTGGATGGATGTGTGGATAGATGGAAGGATGGATGGGTGAAAAGTTGGGTGGGTGCATAGATGGACAGATTGATTAATGGATGGATAAATGGGGGATGGATGGATGGGTGATGAATGGATGGATAGGTGGACGTGTGGATGGATGAATGGGTAGATGAATGGATGGGTGGATGGGTGGATGGATGGGTGGATTGTGGCTAGATGGATGGATGAATGGGGGATGGATGAGTGATGAATGGATGGATAGATGAACATGTGGATGATGAATGGGTAGATGAATGGATGGATAGATGGATAGGGGTGTGGATGGGGGGGTGGATGAGTGGCCGGATGGCTGGGTGATTGGATGGATGGATGGATGGGGGATGGATGGGGGATGGATGGGTAGATAGAAGAAAGGATACATAAGGACAATGACTAGAGTCTCTGAGTCACCTGGAGGTGGAGCAGACAGGAGTGGCAGCCACCCAGGCGCTGTGCGTCTCGTCAGCACCCACACTCCTGGGATGTGGAGGAAGCTCCTTCGCACCTAACTCCTATCTTCTCATTCCCCTTCCTGTCACCGACACAAACAGTGCCAGAAGAGGAAGGAGGCCTAAGAGGCTTCCCCACCCCCTGCACCAAGTGTCCTTGTCTCTAGGCAGGCTGGGGCTCTTTCTGGTAAGACCCTTCACAGCCACCTCTCTCACCCGACTTCCCTGGCCCTGATCCAGAGTGCTAGACCTTGCCACCAGGAAGTCCTTCCTCGAGTCTGACCTGCATTCCTTGTGCTGCAATGTGAGGGCCCCTGCTCCCGTCCGCAGACTCTGCTCTTCCGTTCTCCCTCTTCCCCTTCCTTCATCCTGACCACGCCGCCCACTGTCTGGGCTGCACCATGAACATTTAGTGGGGCTGTCCCCTACCCTCTCATGGTCTCATTCAGAATGAAGGCCAGCTCCTCCCGCTGGGCCCGCCCACCTCCCCAGGCCCTGCTTCCGACGGGGCTCAGCTCCAGAGGAGCAATGACATAGTGTGTGTCCTACTCCAGGACTTCTTCCAGAACCTTCCATCAGTCAGGAGTTCCCTTTTCAGCCCTGCTGCCCGCCCCGCCCCAGCTCCCTAGATCTGTCCTGAAACAGGAGGCAGGGGAGGCATCTGCGTGGGAGCGCAGGGCCTGGAGGGGCCTGGGCCTGGAGGTGCTATGTCTGGAGCGCAGGGCCTGGAGGGGCCTGAGGTGACAGCAGTTGGTGTCTCACACAGGCACTGTCCCACCCCTCCAGCTGCTCACTGCCCAGGGAGGTGAGCAGGGTGCAGAGGGACCAGGCAGTCCTCTTGTGACTGGTGCCATCTCCCCGGCCCTGCTAGAGCCCCACAGCCTTCTCGGCTCTGAGGCATGACCCTGGGGAGGGCTGAGCACCTGCATGGAGGCCCAGACCTGGGGGCGCAGGTGCGAGAGGGGCCCCGGCCTCCCCACAGCCCTGCTCCCTGCAGCCCGGGGGCTCTCAGACCCCCTCAGTGATGGTGCAGGCCCCTCTGAAAACCCCGAGCAGCACGCCGCAGCCCGTCTGGCATCCCGTGCCTCTGGCTGGGTCAGCTCAGAGTAGCCCCCAGAGGGACCCAAAGACAGGGGAGGCACCTTCCAGGGTTCCTGGCCACCCAGGCCCACTCCTGGCCCTGCCTGAGACCCTCCCTGTCTGGACCTCAGTTTCCCCACTGGTGCCAGCTGAGAGCCCTTCCAGGGCCAGCAGTCTGTGACTTGGCACTCACTTCTCAAGGTGTCGGAAGCAGCGGGCTTGGGAGTATCTTGTCAGGTCCTAAAAATAATCAGGAGGGAGGAACACCTCCGAATAGCTGGTGAACGTGAGAGCCACCCGCCCCACGCGCAGCGGAAACTCCTCCAAATAAGGCCTTGGCAGAGCCGGAAGCCTGCACCATCACCACTCACGTCAGCGGCGTTCCAGAACGTTCCTTCCCAGCTCCAAGGGGTCTCCCCCAGAGGGCCAGTGGCCGGATTGGAGACCTGGAAGCCGGGCTCATTCTAAACCCCGGGAGGCCACTGAGGGATGACAGCCCTTCCTGGGAGAGGTCCTGGAATTTACAATTATGAAAGCTAAGCATTTCCTAGCCTAGAAACTTGTATTTAAAGGTACAGAATCTTAGAATAATCAAATTCAGACTCTTCCCCAAATCGCAGAGAACACTGGCACCAAAGGGCAGTGTCCCTGCCCGGCCCCCAGGGGAAGCAGGGACCCCACCTGAGGCCAGGAGGCAGCCTGGAACCCTCCAGGCCAGCCTCTGGGGGAACGAGATGGCTCCCAGCTGTCCCAGGAAGGCAGAGGAGGTGTCGCTGGGCTCAATATGGCTTTCTGGGAACACCATATGGACCCTGCCCAGGAAGGAGAGGCGGGGGGAAGCAGCAGGCAGCACCCCCATCAGCAACCTCCTCGGCCCTTCCCAGGAGTTCCGGGGTGGGGGCGGCCTGTGAGCCCGGGTTCCAGGGCTGCTCGGGTGCAGGGGCTTCAGGAGCCCGTCCCTCCTGCCTTGCAGTGTGCACAGGGGTGGGGTGCCCCTTCTCTGCCCACCTTCTGCCTCTCCTCCATGTCTTTCTTCATCTTTCCCTGCCCCTGCTGAACCCGAGGGGAAGCTTCTCATGGACTCCGCCCAGTTCCTCCCCCAGGCCACGCTTAACCTCCCAGAGGGACAAGGGTGTGCCTTGGGCACCAGGACAGAGAAGAAGAGGGAGGGACAGGTCTGGAGGGAGTGAGGAGTGGGCACAGTCTGGTGACAGGACCTTGAGAGTAGGCAGGGAGGGGTACAGAGCAGGGACAGGAACTCCCACCCTTGAAGGCTTCCTGGAGGAGGGGACCTGGCTGAGCCTGGAGGTGGTGGAGGTGGGTGGTATTTGGCACCCATGTAGGGACAGCCTTGGAGGCTGCTGATGGCACCAGTGGCCGCTGAGCCAAGGCTGGTGGTGTGGGCAGCGTGGGTGGCATGGGTGGCATGGGCAGCATGGGACGGGGCTTATACCCCTTGGAGGTTCGGGAGATTCAGGCTCGCAGCCAGAGACCCCCTCCTGCTGGCATGGAGGGAGAGGCTCAGTGCTCAGGCCCCACCCCGGGCTGCTGTGGGGAATTTCTCTCCTAGCCCACCCCAGGTCACTAACAGATTACTACGACAGGGTGTGGCCAGGGTCACACAGCTGGGGCCTGGACCGCTGCTCGGCCAACCCTAGAAGAGTCGGTCCCGGCCCCCACCCGACTGTTGCCATCCTGCAGGCAGTCTGCACCGGT